TATAGATGGGCTAAAATAGCAGAATCCCAACTATACTTTCTTGTTTTTTCAAAGTTCCTAAGCAAACTGAAATAGATAAAATTTACAGTATTCATTGTAATTTTGGAAAATAACAAGCTTCTAAATAGTATCATCATATAATTTCTAGATTTTATTACTCTTGCTAGCTCAGACGAATTTTCATTCAACTCAAGAGTCGCATAATATTTTTTGAGTTCAGTTAGTAATATACCTTGGCCTCTAGCACCACTACCTTCTACCATATCTTTTCCCAACAATTCCTCGCATAGAGAATTGGGTTGTTGAACCGACCCATTAACCGCCTTACCATCGATATGGAGACCCAATAACATGTACACGTCCTCTAGTGTGACGATACATTCATCTATTGGTAGATGAAATGTGTGTGTCTCGGGTCTCCACCTTTCCAGCATTACAGTATAAACATGGAATCAATCGTGCAGTTTGAGATTTTTATAACATTTCCAAAACCCGCATATTCGAGATAGGGCACGATCAACGGGTCGGAAGCAATGTAGTTGTGTGAGCAAATTCTAAATCTTTTAGTATCCTAAATTCAAAATGTAAAAAGTGTAAGAGTCCATAAGATGACTAAATCAATAATAATTTTATAAAAAACATATTAATATACAAGAATATTTGAGAATTTATAAAAACTTACAAATGCCGCAATGTTGTCCTTTGTGTCTCTGAGAATCGCCTATTGTGAGAAGAGTCATATTTGAAATTATATAAGAAAATGAAAGAGTTTGTATCAGAGAGTGAGATGATTGTTGATGCAAAACAAGTATATCAGGCATTGTATTTATAGGCGAAATTGTATGAGAAAGTGAATAAATGAGGTGGTTGGTGGTTGCATACATGCATGATGCATGTCACTCATGCGCCAAGTCAAATGGCGCCTACATGCAATTTAGAGAGCACGCGCCATTCAACTTGGCGTGGGGCAGGCCTAGTTGTAGCATAGGTGGCAGGCTAGGGGGAGGCTAGGGGCAGGCTATGGGCAGACTAGGCGTAGGCTTTTCTGTATGCATGTAAGATGATTGGACATGTAGGGAGGCACCATTTGACTTGGCAAATGAGTACAAAATTGAAAGATGTTGCCATCTCAATTGGCGAATTAGTGGTGGCTTACTTTTGTATTGTTCAAATTCAATGCAGCCTATTTAATCCTACATGTATCTAAAGGCCTCTACACTCAACCACTCAAACACTCAAACATTCAGACATTCAAACAATCAGACACTCAAACACTCAAACACTCAAACACTCAAACACTCAAACCTTCAAACATTCAAACACAATTGCCTTTACACCACCATACGTTATCAGTGCACATTTCAACGGTGAGACGTACATTTGTCCCACCTCTGGGTTTTTGTTTAGAGACACGGAGAACATCTGATTTTGTTTAAACAGGAAAGCCAATTTCTTTTATTTCAAAAAATGATTGGAGGTCAAACTTGGACGAGGTCCTGTGACACAAATCTTCTATCAAAATCCATTTTTTGTGAGAACCAAATAAGATATTATAAGGTAGAGGTTCAAGATAATGAGGACCTTCAGAATATGTTTTCCAGTCATGAGTATTTTGGGTATGACTCAATTGAGTTGTACATTATGCTACGGGAGCCTCATTTGTCACGACCAACTCAGTCACAAGTGTTGATCCTTTCGAAGACGAACAAGCAGAAGTAGATGTCGTTGACGAAGAAGAGGAAAATGAAGAGTTAGAGTTTGATGACATAGTCAACGATGATTCTGAAGACGATGGAATACCTGGAATACCTCTGAATGAGATCTACACACCACCTCCATGCATGACGAACTTCAACATGGGCGGAGATGAATCGTCCTCTGATGTTTTTTTCAATCCGTATATGCAGTCCGATGAAAATTTAAAAGAGAAAGACAAATTTTGTAATAGAGAAGATTGTATCCGAGCCATAAAAAAGTTTCACATGCTAAACTTTGTCGATTTTAAAGTAGATCGGGTAAATCCAGAAAGTACAAGCTCATGTTTGTTCATCCAGATTGTATGTTCAGGCTCACTGCATCATACAGGTTAAGAGGTGATTGTTGGGTGATAGGTTCTATGTCCACCCACACGTGCGTCAATTCTACTCAATCACAGGATCATCGTAAACTAAATTATGATCTCATATGTCAAGAAATCCTACCTCTCGTCAGCAATGATCTGTCTTTGAAGGTGAAAATCATAATCTCTCATATCACTATGGTATACAACTATACTTTGTCATATCGAAAGGCGTGGTTAGCAAAGACCAAGGCGATTGAAAAGGTATATGGAAACTGGGAGGAGTCATACAAAGAATTTTTGCGCTACCTACATGCACTTCAGACGTATTCTCCAGGAACTGTTTATATTATGGAAACATTGTCGGCGTACGCCCCAGATGGTACTCATGTCACCGAAATGGAATATTCAGTCGAGTGTTCTGGGATTTTCAACCTTGCATCACAGGGTTTACGTCATGCAAACCTATTATTCAAATTGATGGAACGTGGTTATACGAGAAATACAAAGGCACGCTACTGATGGCAGTTGCACAAGATGGCAACAACAACATTTTCCCAATTGCCTTTGATCTAGTCGAGGGAGATATTGGTGATGCTTGGAGTTTCTTTCTCAGGAATCTCCGAACACACGTGGCTCCTCAACCCGATCTCTATTTGATCTCCGACCGACATACATCTATTAAGAGTGCATACAATAATCCTGTAAACGGTTGGCATAACCCTCCTTCTACGTATGTCTACTGCATTAGACATATCGTACGAAATTTCACGAGGGAGATCAAAGACAAGGCTCTTAGGAAAACAGTTATGAATGCGGGGTATACATTAACACAACCTACGTTCAAACACTATCACAACGAGATCAGATTGTCAAATCCGGACGCATGTAGGTGGATCGATAATATTCCGATGGAGAAATGGACAAGGTCATACGATAATGGACAATGATGGGGCCACATGACAACAAATCTTATTGAATCCACGAACAGTGTATTCAAAGGCATATGAAACCTCCCTGTAACCGCTTTGGTCAAATGAACATATTTTAGGATGGCTTCGTTGTTTTCCAAAAGAAGTGAAATGTGGAATGCGGTCTTACAATCGGGACAATTATGGAGTGAAAGCTGCATGAAGTATATTAAGGCAGAAAGTACCAAAGCCAACACCCATCTGGTTATAAGGTTAGACCGACACAGCCACAACTTCATTGTCAAAGAGATAATCGACCACAACGAGGGGATGTCAAGACAAGAGTATAGGGTTATACTACCATCTCGTTGGTGCGATTGTGATAAGTTTCAAGCCTTTCGTATGCCTTGCTCTCATGTCATTGCGGCATGTGCGTCTACTCATCAAGATGCATTACAACTTCTATCTTCCATTTATAAGTCTGAAACCTTGCTCGACTTATACAACAATGGCTTCCCATTGGTAGCAAAACCTGATTATCGGCCTGCATACGACGGGGAAATAATATGGCACAACGATCAAATGCGAAGGAATAAAAAGGGTCATCCCAAAAGCAAGTGTATCACAACTGAAATGGACTCCCTTGACAAGCTAGAAAGAAAGTGTGGTTTATGTCATTAGGTCGGACACAATCGAAAAAATTGTCTCACTCAGGCTACAAGCTCGACAACATAAAAACTGTATGCAAACCATCTGCACTTTTTTAAGTTCTAAACATTATTGTTTTCATTAAGAGCATTTGTTACAATAAACCATACACAAACAGCAAATAAAAACACGATAAAACGTCTAAGAAATTACAACCGTCAAAACAATTTCATCTGAGCCATGCATCATCACCATTACGTCTCTGTTTGTTCTGACTTCCTCCAACCAAAAATTAGGTCTTCCAGTTGCAAGTGAGGTGGTTTTTCTTCTTATCTGAATCCTTCTAATTTAATCCCCAGCCTCGATGTCTCCCTCTAGCCATCGCATCAACTCTCTCTTCAGACGCTTCATGGGGTAAATGTGTCAAAATTTCATTTTCATCGGAGGTTTGGTGATCGAGAAAATAACGTATCCATCTCTAGTGAAAATCATGGGAGATGTCATGACGCAAATAACAGAGAAAAAATAAGAAGACGGTGCGAGAAAGTGTGAAGAACAATGGAGAAATGGATGATTTATTTATAAAAAAAAACACAATTGCACGTAGTAGCCAAGTGAGATGGCGCTTCCTCTCCTTTTTATAGTGCATGCGTCATCTCACTTGACTAAAACAAAGTACATGCGCCAAGTGAGATGGCGCCAAGACAAAAAGGTGACTGTATGCGTCATCTCACTTGACTCCTCCATTATGGAATTTTCTGAAACATAATTATTACGTAATTTTCTCCGAAACATAATTATTTATATTATTTTTTTAATACTTGATTATTACTATAAAAAAAATTCACCATTTATTATTTGAGATAGCAGCTCACAATATACTTTAATAATATTTTTCTCAATATCATAGTTGTTCCGAGCTTGCCAGTTTTTTTTTTCTTCACATTTATAAATTATTTAATAGTCATATAAATCATCTTTGGCTGTTCATTCGTCTCAATATTTAAGGGGGGATTCGTATTACAAAATATTAGCAACCTTTTTCATTGTTAAAAAAAGCACTATATATATATATATATATATATATATATATATATATATATATATATATATATATATATATATATATATTGCCAAATTATTTTATGACTTGTCTATACTAATAAATATATCACTCAGAATATATAATGTAGTTCAAATATACCAAATATGAAGTCTCCGAATACAAGTGGAACAAAGAGCAAAATCTAACAAGAAAAAAAGCCTTCTTTCAAGCTCACTTTATTCAAACTCATTTGTTAGGAAAAACAAAATAGAACAAAAACTCTCCTTAAAATTCACTGCTACTGAGAAATGCTAAACAAATCAACCAAGGACAACTTCTAGTAGGTATAGCCCTTGACGAACATTCCCGCCTTGGCTTCTTCATTTTCACCTTCGGCCGAGTATCTTCCAAGCTGAGCCAAGGAGTTAGCTTTGGCACGGACCAAAAGAGACTTCTGAGCTGCTTCCACATTCTCAGGGCGACCTTGCCATGTCTTAAGCACACTGTTCTGCAGTGCTCGTGCATATGAGAAAGACACGTGCCATGGGTTGGGACTTTGGTTCATTGCATTAAGGTTTAGTGTTGCTTCAACTTCTGATTGTCCACCTGACAAAAACTGCAAATAGAAACAAACACGGCTAGTTTAATAATCCAGCGGTTCTCAATTTCAATAATAATTTCAAATTTTCACATTGACAGCATATCACAATTAAACTCGTCAATTCATATGAAGAGGAAACAATAGGTTAAGTGCGGTAACTGTACCATGATTCCTGGAACTGCAGGAGGAACTCTTCTTTTAAGCATGGTTAGAGTATATTTGGCAATGGTTTCTGGAGAAGCCTTTTCCTTGTGCTCGGCGCCGGGTGTAACCATGCTAGGTTTGAGCAAAATTCCCTCAAAAAGGACATTGTTTTGGGCCAGATAGAAGAAGACTTCCGACCATACCTTCTCGGCAACTTCAAGTGTTCTCTCAATCGGATGATCCCCATCAAGAAGAATTTCAGGTTCAACTATTGGAACAAGACCATTGTCCTGCAATGGATTACAAGTTTACAACAAGAAGGACCGTTAAGTATGTCCGTAACTCTAACGATAGACTAATTACAATAAACAAACATTCATTGAAGGTAGGAATACCTGTGAGATAGCAGCGTATCGTGCAAGTCCCCATGCTGCTTCCTTAATAGCTAAAGCAGAAGGACCAGATGGGATGCTAACAACTGTTCTCCTGCATAATTCAAAGCACACAACCATTTAAACTCGATTTTTCAATGCATCCTATAAACAACAAAGTTTCATAAACAAGTCACAAAGAATAGCTTACCACTTAGCAAATCGAGCACCTTGCTTGTAGTATTCAGCAGATCTAGAAGCCAATCCATCTAACCCTTGGCACCAAGATTCATTGTTTGACCCTGGTAGAGGAACCAAACCCTACAAAACCAAATTGTGATCAATCAATCACTGAGACAAACGAAAAAAAACTGACGTAAACAACTTATGGCAAGTATATAAGTTGTTTTTAGCACTTAATCAAATTGCTTATTCAATTAGAACCCAAATCCAATATTACTCACAAACAATCACAAGCAACATACCTTATCAACTTTGATGCCAGGAACAATGTTTCCCTCACGAAGAACATCAACAAACTTCTTCCCATCAGTTGTTGACTGATAAAGAGTTTCCTCAAAAAGAATCGAGCCGGAAACATATTCGCCGAGACCCGGTGTTGTCAACAGAAGTTGCCTATAAGCCTGACGATTAGCCTCAGTATTATCCAATCCAATAGACGCCAAACGCTTCCCAGCAGTTGCATTAGACTCATCAATCGCAAGAATTCCACGACCACGAGACGCAACCGTTTTCTACACACAACAATAACAATAACTCAAAAAACCTCCAAACCAAAACCTAGAAAAAAAAACTACAGTACTATTCAAAAGTCAAACAAATGAAAACAATAAACAAAAATCCAATCGAAAAACTGAATATGAAAATCATGAAAGGAGAAGAGAAGTGGATACTTACGGCGGTTAGAACGAGTTCATCGGAGTAAGAAGAAGCGCGGATCGGAAGAGAGAGATTACGAGTGGAGGAAACAGAAGATCCACGGCGAGAAGAGAATGGATTATTGGCGATCCATTGGGAAGAGAGAGAGTTGAGTTTTGCAGAAGCCATGGATGAATCAGAACAAGAACAACAATGTGAGAGAGTGATGTACGATGTTGTTTATTTCTTGTGTTTGTTATAACGAGAAAGAGAGGGTTTCGTTTTGTTTTGTGTTGTTTTGTTTGGTTTCTCGTTCACTCCGTCAAAACGTTAGGTGATAGAGAAAGAAACAGACTCAAGCGGTAATACCAAACTCTGTTAACTTCACCTACCCACCATTTTATAGAAGGAAAAAAAATATAATTTGTTTTTTTAGCTCCGTTTTTTATGTGGTTTTTAAATTTAAATTGCTTCATAACTTATCTTTATGGTTACTTATCTTTTGAGATTGGTTAGTTTTAGGATGTTATCTTATTTTCAAAAATCGGGAATTTTGTACGTTCGTACGGGTACCGATATATATTATATTTATTTTAAAATTATTGTCAAATATATTTAAATCAATAATAAAGTTGTTTTATTATTATTCAATATTTTGATCAATAAATTTATGTTTCTGTTATTATTTAATATTTTGATGAATAATTTCATGTTTATGTTATTATTAAATATTTTAATTATTAATTTTAGATTTCTGTTAACTTAATATTTTCGTTAATATTCAATATTTTGATCAGTAACTTCGTATTCTCGTTAATATTCAATATTTTTATTAGTAACTTCATGTTCCCGTTAATATTTAATATTTTGATTAGTAATTTAATAATTATGTTAATATATAATATTTTGTTCAGTAATTTAACATTTTCCGTTAATATTTAATATTTTGATCAATAACTTCATGTTCTCGTTAATATTCAATCATTTAATCAATAACTTCATGTTGTCGTTAATATTCAATATTTTAATTAGTAATTTTATGTTCCACGTTAATATTCAATAGTTTTATCAATAACTTCATGTTCTCGTTAACATTAAATATTTTAATCAGTAACTTCATATTTTCGTTAGTATTCAATATTTTGACAGTTACAGCATGTTCTCGTTAATATTCAAAATTTTGATCAGTATCTTCACGTTCTCATTAATATTCAATATTTTAATCATTAACTTCATTTTCCGTTAATATTCAATATTATTATCAGTAATTTCATGTTCTTATTAATATTCAATATTTTGATCAGTAACTTCATGTTCCCTGTAATATTCAATATTTTGATCAATAACTTCATGTTCACGTTAATATTAAATATTTTGATCATTAACTTCATGTTCCCGTTAATATTCAATATTTTGATTAATAACTTCATGTTTCCCTAAATATTCAATATTTTTATCAGTAACTTCATGAATTTTAGGAAAAAAAATATAGTAATTGATTTAGTTGAACAAATGTGATTGATTTAGTAAAAAAATGTGGTTTCTCATTCTCTGTCTCTTTTGTAAGTATATAATCCACAATGGCACTATGTTTTTTTTTCTTCTTTTTTTTCCTAATTTCTTGTTCTCAATTGTAAAATGAAAAATGTTTTCTATTGTCAGCATTTGATTGGGTTCTTCCTGTTCCTGGCATTGACTATATACACTGCCATGAAAGTTCTGCGGGTTTGTTGGCTGAAAATTTTGATGATATTATTAGAAGCGAAGCAAATTGGACGTTTCGATTGGAATAAAGCAAGATGTCATGTTTCGAAATGGTAGAAGCAGTGTTTCGAATGGGCATATCAAAGCTTGGAGCTTCGAGTGACAGTTATGAGGATATATTCAAAGAAGTCTCGAAATGTTAACAAGGTTATGTCCAAGAAATGCGTTCGAAGCAAAGAAGTGCCAAAACATTTGAAATTCAAATGCAAGCGGGATGTTCGAAATTTGAAATATATGCGCTGGAGCATTTGAAGACGCGTGGAAGCTAGGGAGAGGCATTGCTCTGCATGTTCTGAACGTGGCAGAATCTTATAGCAAGACCGTTATGGTCGAAGTAGTATAAATAGAAGTCTTAGCATTAGGATTTCGTGTGTCATATCTATTGTACAAAAAACTCAGTAAACATTCAAAATACCACATGGCTAGGGAAACGAATGCACGAGCAATGTGCGTATGATAACACCAAGTGTTTATAATTTAATAAAAACTCTTTATCATTTCCAGTATTTTCCTTTGTCTTCATGTCAATACCATTCAAAAGCTTTTGCATTAAAATGTTTTCATTCGAAGTCTTTCTACTGATGCCTTACATTTAAATGCTTTCTTTCCATTTCAAATACTTTACATTTCAGAAACTGTCGTACATTTCATGCCTTTATCTTCAAGCTTTTATCATTCGAACACCTTTTTTTTACTTAAAGTCATTTTACTGCTTTCTTGCATTTGAACGCTTTCTTCATATTTCGAATCTTTTACATTCCAGAGAATCTTTTACATTACATGTTTTTATGCTTCAAAGTCATTTACTTGTCTTTTATGCAGTTTTACATGTCTTTACAATTGAACTTTATTCATGCAATTTAGTTTCGCGCACATTTACTTGATCATGCCTTTAAATCTTTAATAGAGTAATCGAAGTAAGTTAAACACCTACACAACATTCTAAATACCAACCATGAATACCAGTTCTATAATGAGAGTTATCCTAATGACCAATACATCCTAGGATCAATCTAGTCGATTCTGCGAGTTACCAGAGAGATTGAATAACAGTCAGTAAGATTATTCGATAGTTTGGAGGACTAGCGGTTGTTTACCAGAAATCACTGTAAACAAATTGGTACACCTGGTGGGACAAGTCATTGGCCATTACGGAATTTAGAACAGAGTAAAAGATTGTTAAGACATAACCATTGTAAAAATACTCTCTGAGCGATAAGTTTGTTGTTTTATGAACCTTAGAAGTGGTAGAATAACCAATAGCAACCAACCCTTATCCAGAAGAAAACGTTTGAACAAGATGTCTAATTCTGACAATCAACAAGGGGAACAAAATATCCCACATGCAACAGGCACTAATATGTCAGATTCAATGGGAATATCTAATGTGACCCCTTCGAATGCACAGTCTGTTGCTTCCTCCACCAGTAATATAGCCACCAATGGAATAAGTGGCATATCAACTAACAGTTCGATCCTAGGAAATACTGGAACCATTGGTTATCCTGGGGGATTCGTCCCACCATCAGGGACACAAACCCATTTCGCCACCCCACTAACTAGACCACCCGGTTTCGATGGTAATAGAACCAGAAATTCCTCTTATGGAATGCCAACGTCTTTTATGGCAGGCTTACACAATTCCACATCGAATTCATCACTACAATTAGGGTCTGGGTCTGGGGCAAATCAATTTATGACAAATAACCAAGGGTCAGTGGGTTATAGTGCAATGCCTATTTTAACCACAGAAAATCAGTTGGCTTTTAGGCAATTAATGGATGACAGTAACCATAATATGATAGGGGTATTAGCACAAACTATGCAGGAAATATTTGCCCCAATAGTACAAAATGTGACTGTGACAAACAGAGAAAACGCAGATAACATGAGTCGAATAGCAGATTTCTTTGCTCCCCCAGAGAGGCGTAGGCAGAATCAGGCGGGAGTTCGAGCGAACGTACCTATTATAGAACAAGTTGCTAACAACCCAACCTATAGACCAGCCAGAGAGGAGGTTAACTTGGGGGCAAGGGCACAAAGGCTAGAAGCCCCAATGATCCAAGGCCCACAAAGGGAAATTATGGAACTAGGGGCAAGGGTCGAAAGGCTGGAAGTCCCAGAGTTTCGAGAAGAACAACCTAGAGGGGTTGTCATGGTGGGTCGAAATCAAGATGTTGATGCAGTCGTTCATAGAATTCGAAACGATAACATCTTGGCAAAAAATAATTTAACCACCATGATAGAGAGAATCATGGCCCAGAATGGCCTCAACACAGGAATTAGAAGGCCAAATTATGCCTCCCCTATATTAGATTACATAATGCACACTGATTTACCAAGGGGATATAAAGTCCCTAAATTTACAAAGTTTGCTGGGGATACCAATGAGTCAACAGTCGAACATATAGCCAGGTATCTAACCGAAGCGGGAGATATAGCCAATAATGAAGACCTCAGGATCAAATATTTCCCAAGTTCCCTGACTAAGAACGCTTTCACATGGTTCACCACTTTGCCTCCTGGGTCCATTGATACTTGGGCTCTTTTGGAGAGATTATTCCATGAGCAGTTCTACATGGGACAATCAAAAATAAGTCTGAAGGAACTAGCCAGTGTCAAGAGAAAGTTCACTGAACCCATAGATGATTATCTGAATAGATTCAGGCTTTTGAAATCTAGATGTTTCACAGTAGTGCCTGAACATGAGTTAGTCGAAATGGCCGCTGGCGGCTTGGATTACTCTATTCGAAAGAAACTAGACACTCAATATTTAAGGGATATGGCTCAATTAGCCGATAGGGTTCGACAGATCGAAAGGCTAAAGGCCGAAAAGGCCAGAGTCTTTAAAAATAACAAGAAGGAAAGGATCTCCTATGTTGGAACTGAGGAAGCAGAAGATTATCCTGAATTCGAATTCGAAGAGGTCGAAATTGACCTCGCTGAATTAAAACAGGCACCACCTTACTCCTGCAAATTATTAGTTCCCACAAAAGGGAAAGAAATTGTTGAAAATGAGAAAAGTGACAAATTCCCAAAGAAGGTTTATACCTTCGATGTCACTAAATGTGACGAGTATTTTGATTTACTTGTCAAAGATGGCCAACTCATTGTGCCATCAAATGTCAAAATACCTCCTTTAGATCAAAGAAAGAAAAGAGGATTTTGCAAATATCATAGTTTCCTAGGCCACAAAACCTCATAGTGTTTTCTTTTCAGGGACCTAATTCAGAATGCAATTAAAGATGGCAGACTGAAGTTTGCTGATAAGGCAAAAATGAAAGTGGACGAAGACCCTTTGGACGTCGCAAACACCAATTACTCCGAACCTGCATGCATTGGAGAAATTAACATGGTGGAAGCTGACCAAAGTGACGCTCCAGTGGGAGAGAAAGGTACTGAAAATGAAGGTTGGGTGATAGTCG